AATTTATAACTGAAAACCTCCTTGAAAAAACTGTACAGAAGAAGCGAAGCATGGAGAAGGAAACACATACATTGCCTACACATACAAAGCAGGTGTAGGATTGTGGTTAAGAGCATGAGCTCAAGTCCCAGTGTCTGGATTTCAATCCTGCACCATGACTCCCAAGGATGGTGACTTTACCTATCTAAGCCTCAGTTTTCTTCTCTGTAAAATGATCACAAAACCTCGTAAATTAGGCTGATTCTGAGCATTAATCTATCCAGGTACAGCACTTAGCACATAGAATGTGTGGGGAGAGCGTGAGGCGTGGGGGGTATGCAAAGGAGTTTTGGTGATGAAGAAGAGGAGAGTCCACAGGCTACCAGAGAAGTTTAAAACTAACCCCTAGTTAGTCTGCTGACCATGTTTACACCCCACAACCCCATGGAGACAAGGTGCCCTCACTCATGGTGCTTACTTCTGGAACAGATTCCAAAACAATTCATACAAATTCTGGAATCACCAAACATATATAGTTTAAAAAAAAAAAAAAAAAAAGGCTTAAAACTGAGGAGTCTGTAGGAATACATTTCACAAAAGAAGTACAAGACATGTACTCTGAGAACTACAAAACATTGTTGAAAGAAATAAAAGAACATGTAAATAAATGGAAAGACATCTCACGTTCATGGATTGGAAAGCTTAATATAAGATGGCTATATTCCCCAGAGTGAACCACAGATTCAATGCAATCCCTATCAAAACCCCAGCAGGCTTATTTGCAAAAATTGTCAAGCTGACTCAAAAATTCGTATGGAAATCTAAAGGACTTGGAATAGTCAAACAATACGGAAAAAGAACAAAGTTGTAAGACTCACACTTCGAGATTTCAAAACTCACTACAAAGCGCTAGTAATTCAGACAGTGTGTGGTACTGACATAAGGACAGACAGATAGATGAATGGAACAGAATTGAGAGTCCAGAAATAACTCATGCATTTATGGTCAATTGATTTTCAACAAAAGTTGCCAGATAATTCAGTAGGGAAAGAATAGTATTTTTAAACATATATTGCTGGAATAACTGAATAGCCACATGCAAAAAAAAAGAAGTTGGACTCCTTACCTTCACACCCTACATAAAAATTAATTAAAAAATGGATCACAGACAACCTAAAATGTAAGAGTTAAAGCTAAGAAACTGAGAAGAAAACATAGGAGTAAATCTGCGTGATCTTGGATTAAGCAATGGTTCTTAGATATGACACTGAAGCCACAAGCAACAAAAGAAAAAAATAAATAAATTGGGCCAGGTGCAGTGGCTTATGCCTGTAATCCCTGCACTTTGGGAGGCCAAGGCGGGTAGATCACCTGAGGTCAACATGATAAAACCCCTGTCTCTACTAAAAACACAAAAAATTAGCTGGGCGTGGTGGCACATGCCTATAATGCCAGCTACTCAGGAGGCTGAAGCAGGAGAATCGCTTTAACCCAGGAGGCAGAGGTTGCAGTGAGCCGAGATTGCACCATTGCACTCCAGCCTGGGTAACAAGAGCATAACTCTGTCTCAAAAAACAAATAAATAAATAGGACATCATCGGCCGGGCGCGGTGGCTCAAGCCTGTAATCCCAGCACTTTGGGAGGCCGAGACGGGTGGATCACGAGGTCAGGAGATCGAGACCATCCTGGCTGACACGGTGAAACCCCGTCTCTACTAAAAAATACAAAAAACTAGCCGGGCGAGGTGGCGGGCGCCTGTAGTCCCAGCTACTCGGGAGGCTGAGGCAGGAGAATGGCGTGAACCCGGTTGGCGGAGCTTGCAGTGAGCTGAGATCTGGCCACTGCACTCCAGCCTGGGCCTCAGAGCGAGACTCCGTCTCAAAAAAAAAAAAAAAAAAAGAAAGTAAAAAGACAACCAACAGAATGGGAAAAATTATTTGTAAATCATGTATCAAGAATACATAAAGAGGTCAGGTGCAGTGGCTCATGCCTATAATCCCAGCACTTTGGGAAGCTGAGGCAGGAGGACTGCTTGAGACCACAAGTTCAAGACCAGCCTGGCCAACACGGTGAAACCCCGTCTCTACTAAAAATACAAAAATTAACCAGGTATGGTGATGTGCACCTGTAATCTCAGCTACTTGGGTGGCTGAGGCAGGAGAGTTGCTTGAACCCAGGAGGGGGAGGTTGCAGGGAGCCGAGATCACACCCCTCCACCCCCGCCTGGGGAAAAAAGAAAGACCCCGTTAAAAAAAAAAAAAAAAAAAAAAAAAAAAGGAATATGTAAAGAACTTTTACAACCCAATAATAAAAAGACAACCCTATTTAACAATGGCCAAAGGGCCAGGTGTGGTGGCTCACACCTGTAATCCCAGCACTGTGGGAGGTCAAGGAGGGAGGATTGCTCCATACCAGGAGTTCGAGACGAGCCTGGCCAACATGGAGAAACCCCATCTCTACAAAAAATACAAAAATTAGCTGGGCGTGGTGGCACGTGCCTATAGTCCCAGGTACTCAGGAAGCTGAGGTGCAAGAATCACTTGAGCCTGGGAGACTGGGGTTGCAGTGAGCCAAGACTGCACCATTGCACTGCAGCCTGGGTGACAGAGCGAAACTCTATCTAAAATAAAATAAAATAATAATGGGCAAAGGATTTGAATAGACATTACTACAATGCAGATATACAAATGAACAACAAGCACATGAAAAGATGATCAACGTCTTTAGGCATTTGGCAAATACAACCAGCGAGATGCCGCTTCATACCCACCAGGGTGATGTAATAAAAAACACACGCAATCACAAGTGTTGGTGAGAATGTGGAGAAATTAGAGCCTGTACGCGTGGTTAGGGGAAATGTAAAATGGTGCAGCTGCTTTGAAAAACAACTTGGCAGTTTCTCAAATAAACATAGATATAGATACCTACCAGGGATACACAGATACAGCATGATTTCATTGTATAAAGTGTCCAGAATAGGCAAAACCTATCTAACTGAGGCTTAGGTGGGTAAAAAGATAGAAAGTAGATTTGTGGTTTCCAGGGGGTGGGGGAAGAAACAGAGGAGGCCATAAGGAGTGACTGCTGATGGATATGGGGTTTCTTTTTGAGAAGATAATAGTGTTCTGAAATTAGGCCGGGCACAGTGGCTCATACCTGTAATCCCAGCACTTTGGGAAGTGGAGACGGGTGGATCATCTGAGGCCAGGAGTTTGAGACCAGCCTGGCCAACATGGCAAAACCCTGTCTCTACAAAAATACAAAAATTAGCTGGTCATGGTGGTACATGCCTGTAGTCCCAGCTACTCGGGAGGCTGAGGCAGGAGAATTGCTTGAACCTAGGAGGCACAAGTTGCAGTGAGCCAAGATTGTGCCACTATACTCCAGCCTGGGTGACAGAGTGAGACTGTCTCAAAAAAAAAAAAAAAAAAAAAAAGGTGATGAAATTGGTAGTGATGGTTGCACAACTGTGAATATACTAAAATCACTAAATTACACACTCAAAAGGGGTGAATGTTATGGTATGTGAATTATATCTCAATTAAACTGTTATTTCAAAATAAAACTAAACTAAACCAAGGGTTCTAGGTGCCCCTAGTGACTCCAACATGACAGCTTAGATCCACTCTATCTGGCTGATGTGGCGAGCTGTGGAAAGGCACCCACTGCTCCCTGTTCTGTTCAGGTCTCCTCCCCGCCTACTTGGCTCAGAGGACTCCCCTACTCAACTAAGTTTCTGGCCACTGTAGCCATAGGAGCAGCAAGAACAAGAACAAGAACATAGCTGTTACGTTTTGTGAATTGTATTGTGAGAACTGATCAGCCCCTACTGCTTACTTCAGCGCCCTAACCCATTTCACTCCAGGATACTGGTAGGGTTGCCAGATAAAATACAAGACACTCAATTACATTTCAATTTCAGGTAATCAATGAATAATTTTTTGGTAGCAGTATGTCTCAAATGTTGCATCATTCATTTAAAATTTAACTGGATATCCTGTATTTTTATTTGCTAAATTTGGCAACCCTACACTCTGGCTTCCATGCCATCCCTGAACACATGAACCACACTCTCACCTCGGGAACTTTGCATTTGTTCTTTCTGCCTGAAATTATCTTCCCCCAGATAGTCTCATGGTTCCTTCCCCACTTCAGGTTTTTGTCCAAACAGCATCTCATCATAAGAAGGCGTCTCCTACACACCTTATACAGAAGAGCCACTTTTACCTGGCAGTCCGATGCCCCTTCCCCTTGGCATTCACCACCACCTGACATTTACATGTATATATATATATATATATATATATGTGTGTGGCTAATTGCCTGCTTTCCCCTCAGTACATTGGAGACTCCTTGAAGGTAAGGCTTCTTTTACTCACTGCTGCATTCCTAGTGCTTAGGACAGGGCCTGGCACGGAGAAGGCAATATGTTAATATTTACTGAATGAGTACAGAAGTGTTGTGCATGGGTTATCCCATCTATTCTTCCAAACAGCCCTATGAAACAAATACTGCCACCAACTGTGTTTCATAGACGAGACAGCTAAGACATGAAAGTCAAATAACTCATCAAGAGGCCCATTGCAGATGCAGGAGCCAGACCCCAAATGACCCACCTCCCTGCACCAGCTCACTGTCACAGGCACTGCACAGCTCACTGTCACAGGCACTGCACAGACACCGCACAGCTTACTGTCACAGGTGGCGGGGCAACTTGGAGCTCGGGTGGCAGGTGTTTCTGACTCCTTCCATTTAGGGTACTCTGGGTTAGATGAAGGAAGGAGCCACAAACACATCTGAGAGTCTACATTTGCACCAGACAGCTGAATCCCGGATTTAATTAAGGCTTAATTTTTGCCTACACAATTATTGTGGAATATAAAGTGTTTCAAATAACTATAGAGTATTTCAAATAACTAAAGGCTTGATTTGCCTACACAATTACTGTGCAATATAAAGTGTTTTAATAACTACCTAAACTTCCATTAATGGAGAAGTCTGTGTGGGTATCTATACTCACTTTTATTTCTTCATGAACATCAGGATTGCGGAAATTTAAATCAGGTTGCTCTTTCATAAACTGGTGAAAATAACACTGGTTTCGCACTTCATCAAAGTGCCAACTGGAGTTTCCATATACACTTAACTGGCAAACAAAGAAAACAGCACATCAGTTACACATAATGGTATTGCCAGCAAATAAAGATCATTGTCCTCCCTGATCCTTTGCAGGCAGAGTATGTAAATCCTGAGAGTTTTCTTTCTATGGACAGCAGCAGGTTAAAGTAACCCCTCCAAATACTCCCCACCCCGTTGGCCTAATGCCGAACAAACAGGATTGCAATGTATTTTTATAGTAGAGGCTGTTTGTAACAACTGTAACAGCAAACCAGTGCTCTCAAATCCAAGACAAGGTCAACCTAAGGAACAGACATTAATAATGTATTTTCTTGAATCTTCTGTACAGGGTCTGAACTCTTGTTTGTGAAGAGAAGCAAAATGGTAGTCAATTTGGAAGAAAGACACATTCCGCTCGTCTTGGAGCTTGAGTCCAGACAGACTGAATATTTAAATTGTATCCCCAGAAAAGTATTAGAATCCTTCACTTAAAATCTCTACCAGTCTCCAAGAATAAAAAGCAACCTCAAGTGCTGGTACTCAGCAATAGTTGACTCTGTCACTGGTCTCCTCTGTCTGGAAATGCTCACATGTATGGCCCCAAGGCGTGACTCTCCCAGCTGCCCTCCCACATCTCTGACCACTCCTTAAGTCAACGCGGTGGGCCCTTGAATGTGAGAGCTTCATGGGGCTCTGTCCTAGGCCTTTTGTCCATTTCATGTTAAAGAGAACATCTGGAAAACATTTAAAAACTGAGAGGTTTCACAGAAATCTTTTTGAGTTGGAAGACGGAGTTATGCTGGGTCCACATGTCCATGGCAACAAGAGGCAGATGCTGAGTAGCAGCTGCTGCCTTTCAAGGACACGTGCACCTTCCAATTCAACACACAGCCCGCCGGGACACAACCAGGGCAAGAGATTTTTAGTGTACATAACCAATAAAAGATCAGTATCCAGAATACAAAAAGAACTGAAGAAAGCAATTTCAAAGGGATAAATAATCCAAAAGAAAGTAGGGGAAAGAAACCATAAACAGGTGCTTCGCAGAAATAGACACCCAAGCGAATAAATGTAGGAAAAGATGTTCAACATCATTAGGAATTAGATAATTACTGTATTGGCCAGGCGCGGTGGCTCAAGCCTGTAATCCCAGCACTTTGGGAAGCCGAGACGGGTGGATCACAAGGTCAGGAGATCGAGACCATCCTGGCTAACACGGTGAAACACCGTCTCTACTAAAAAAATACAAAAAACTAGCCGGGCGAGGTGGCGGGCGCCTGTAATCCCAGCTACTCGGGAGGCTGAGGCAGGAGAATGGCGTAAACCCGGGAGGTGGAGCTTGCAGTGAGCTGAGATCCGGCCACTGCACTCCAGCCCGGGCGACAGAGCGAGACTCCGTCTCAAAAAAAAAAAAAAAAGATAATTACTGTATTAAGAATTAGACACATCATCATTAGTAATTAAATAAATATAAAATTAAGACTTCAATGCCATATTGTTTTAAGTCTGGGCTGGGCATGGTAGCTCATGCCAGTAATCACAGCATTTTGAGAGGCTGAAGCGGGAGGACTGCTTGAGGCCAGAAGTTCAAGACCAGCTTGGGCAACATAGTGAGACCCCATATTTACAAAAAAATTTAAAAACTCAGCCAGGCATGATGGTGTGTGCCTGTGGTCCAGCTACTAAGGAGGCTGCGGCAGCGAGGAATGCTTGAGTCCGGGAGCTCGAGGCTGCCGTAAGCTACGATTGAGCCACTACGCTCCAGCCTGGGCCACAGAGAGAGACCCTGACACAAAATAATGATAATAATAATTTTTAAATAAATATTACAAAGTTGGGCAATACCAGGAATTAATGAGAATGTGTATTTTTTAAATACTTCTGTGGGGGATATAAATTGGTACAACCATTTTGATAATTAATTTGACACTATCCTGTAGAGCTGAGCACAGCAATTTTACTCCTATTTACCTTAAAGAAGCCTTTGGTTGGGCGCGGTGGCTCACGCCTGTAATCCTAGCACTTTGGGAGGCCGAGGTGGGCAGATCACAAGGTCAGGAGTTCAAGACCTGCCTGGACAATATGGCGAAACCCTATCTCTACTAAAGATACAAAACTTAGGCGGGCATGGTGATGGGTGCCTGTAGTCCCAGATACTTGGGAGGCTGAGGCAGGGGAATCGCTTGAACTGGGGAGGCAGAGGTTGCAGTGAGCCAAGATCATGCCACTGCACTCCAACCTGGGTGACAGAGCAAGACTCCATCTCAAAAAAAGAAAAAAGAAGCCCTTGCACATGTACCCCAAGATAGATTAATGGGAATGTTTATAGTAACATTGTTCACAAAAAAAAAAAAAAAAAAAAAAAAAACGGAAGTAGCCCAACTTCCCATCAACACAAGAGTGGGTAAGTAAACCATGGATTGTTCACTCAGTGAAATATACAACAATGAAAATATATGAGCTACCTGAAGCTACATGAATAAATCGTGAAAAAGTTAGTTACAGAAGACTATACCTAGCATGATACTTTTCATAAAGTTCAAAATAGAGGAAACTAAAAAATAATTTTTTTAGAGTCAAAATCTTGCTATATATGGTTATACTACAAGGTTTTTATCCATCATACACATATACATATTTTTGAACATATTAACTATTACATTAGAAAATGCAACCTTGACTATAGTGAACAACTAACAAAGCAATGGAAAAACTAGATGACAAAAAAGGCAGCTGTGACCATTCTATAAGCAAGAAATGATATGGTTTGAGTATAGCAGCAATTTTTAAAAGCAGACTGTGGAGCTGGAATGACCAGATCCCATCCTTAGCCCTGTCATTTATTAGCTGACTAACCTCAGTCTGCCTATCTGCAAAACAGGAATTACACCTGACTCATAGGATTATAGAGTGGATTAACTAAATTAATGAATATAAAACACTTAGCACAGAGCCTGGCACAGAGTAAGTATTTTGTAAATGTTTGCTAATGTCATTGCAATTTCAACAAGCCAGTGAACTGGAGGAAAAGATTAAAGAGGTGACACTGCCAGGGCTTGCTGACAGCCTGTTCCTCAGGCTGCATGGTGGTACCGTTCACTGAACCTGGAGACAAAAGGTAGGGAGAAGATCACACATCACAAAGTCGGCCTGGAAATGTGTCAATTCTGAGTGTCCTTGGGTCACCTAAAAGTTGACATTTAAATATTTATGGAGAAGGTCCAGAAGAGAGAAGGAGGACTGGAGGAGGAAGGGATGATCTAGAATAAAGGCAGGGGAGAACACAAACCTGAGCAAGGGGAAGCTCTGGCCTGGGACAGAAGCAGAGCTGCCAGATGAAGTGCAGGATGCCCAGTTACATCTGAATTCAGATCAACAACACATATTGTTGAGTATAAGCATGACTCATGCGGCCAGGCACAGTGGCTTACACCTGTAATCCCGGCCCTTTGGGAGACCGAAGCAGGAGGATCACTTGAGCCCAAGAGTTCAAGACCAGCCTGGACAACATAGTGAAGCCCTCTCTTTACAAAAAAATAAAATACTAGCTGGGCATGGTGGCACACACCTGTGGTCCCAGCTACTTGGGAAGCAGAGCTGGGAGGATTGCTTGAGCCCAGGAGGCAAAGACTGCAGTGAACCATGATCAAGCCACTGCACTCCAGCCTGGGAGACAGAGCAAGACCCTGTCTCTGAAAAACAAAAATAAAAAAGAAGGTATGGTCCACACTAAAAACTTATTTATGCACTGCTTATCCAAAATTCAGATTTAACTGGGCATTCTGAATTTTTATTTGCTAAATCTGGTCACCCCAGAAAGGAGGGATGTGGCCTCTGTTGTAAAAGGGGTTAGTAGGAAGAGGTTGGGAATGGGGCAGGCAGGCTTGATGGCCTCTGTTTTCTCTGTGAAGTTGAGTTTGCTGCTGAGAGTGATCGGGGCAGAGGCAAATACGATGTTTGAAAAGACGGAGGGAAGGAAAGTTGATCAGTTGGAATTAGCAAAATTCCCAAAAAGATTGGATGGCTCAGTTCAGGTGGGGACAATGAAGGTGTGATGTCTCCAGAGACTCAACTACCAGGGTTTAGGCAAAAAGAAAGTAGATAATTGGGTTCATTCACGGCTAGGGTTTTGTCAGAGGAGACAAAAAGTCAGAAAGGCAAAGGGGGCCGGGCGCAGTGGCTCACACCTGTAATCCCAGCACTTTGGGAGGCTGAGGTGGGCGGATCACCTAAGGTCAGTTCAAGATCAGACTGGCCAACATGGTGAAACCCCACCTCTACTGAAAATACAAAAATTAGCCGAGCATGGTGACATGCACCTGTAATCATAGCTATTGGTGAGGCTGAGGCAGGAGAATTGCTTGAACCCAGGAGGCGGAGGTTGCAGTGAGCCGAGATCGTGCCATTGCACTCCAGACTGGGGGACAAGAGCAAAACTCCATCTCAAGAAAATAATAAATAAGCAAAGGGGTATGGATAGTAGAAACATGGTTATCGAACTAATGGGACATGGAATCCAAGTTGGATCGGGTAGGAAGTGAAGGAAGGGTGGAAGGAGAGAATATAGGTTTGAATTTGCTAGAACACATCACCTCTATGATGAAATCAGAAACCTAAATAATAATTGGAGGCCTGGGTAAATAATAACTGGAAGATTTATTTCTATTTCTTTCAGAAACTTCCCCCTTCCCATAAACTATGTTCATTAATTTTTTCCTCAAAAGGATTTTACTAAACCAGTTCAATCACTGCATACCTGCCTTTTACTGCTTTGTAAATCAGACAGGTTGATACTTACCCAGTTGTTGGGTGGAACGGTTGTGCCATTTTCATGGGTACAGTCATGCCAGATATAATAATCAGTATATTTTCCTGTCCGTGTCCGACTTAATTGAAACCAAGTATGTTTATCACTGGTGTGGTTTGGTATGAAATCGATGATTAATTTTAAACCTAATGAGTAAAAAACATTTCAAATGCTAGGAAAAGTTGTATTAGAATAACATATGACAGGCCAGGCACAGCAGTGGCTCACGCCTGTAACCCTAATACATTGGGAGGCTAAGGTGGGAGGATTGCTTGAGCCCAGGAGGTGGAGGCTGAAGTGAGCCATGACTACGCCACTGCACTCCAGCCTGGCAGACAGAGCAAGACCCTGTCTGGAAGAAAAAAAAAAAAAAAAAGAAGGGAAAGGAGAGGGGAGGGGAGGGGAGGGAAGGGGCAGAAAGGAGATAGGGAAGGAAAAAGGAAAGGGAAAGGAGAAAGGAAAAAAGGAAAGGGAAGGGAAGGAAGAAAGAGAAAGAGAGAAGGAAGCAAGGAAAGAGGGAGGGAGAGATGGAAAGAAGGAAGGAAGGAAGGAGGAGGGAGGGAGGGAAAGAAATAGTACACGACAGTTAAAGGGAAGAAATGCTTTAAGTAAACATTTGAAAAAGTGCTTCTCTCAACCCTCACCCCCATCCTGCCCACTTTCCATTTAACTTACCTTTATCATGTATGGCTGCAACCAGATTCTCAAAATCTTCCATCGTTCCAAAAATGGAATCGACTTGCCGGAAATCTTCAACACCATATCTGAAATCTTTAAGGGACGACTTATAAAATGAAGTAATCCAAACAGTTTTTACATTTAAAGCTGTGATGTAGTCCAGTTTATCTTGAATACCTGAAGAAAAAAGTCAAAGTCATGAACAAATCCTACTTTGTTTTAGTTAAAGGACAAAAAATATAACCAATATGCCTAAGATGGAAATATTTACATGAAGGCAAAAATACATAGAATTTTGTTGAATTTGAGTATAATTCAAATAGGAAGATCTAGCTCTATAAAAAAACAACATCATCAAATTAGGCTGGGTGTTGTGGTTCACGCCTGTAATCCCAGCACTTTGGGAGGCCAAGGAGGGAGGATACCTAAGGTCAGGAGTTCAAGACCAGCCTGGCCAACATGGCAAAACCCTGTCTCTACTAAAAATACAAAAATTAGCTGGGCGTGGTGGCACACGCCTGTGATCCCAGCTACCTGGGAGGCTGAGGCAGGAGGATCGCTTGAACCCGGGAGGTGGAGGCTACAAGGACCCAAGATCATGTTGCTGCACTCCAGCCTGGGCGACAGAGCAAGACCCTTTATCAAAAAAAAAAAAAGAAAGAAAAAGAAAAGAAAAAATCAAATTAGTTACCTAGCAGTAATCGATGATATTTAAGATAGCATTAACAAAAATCTGTGACTTACTCATTATTTTATATTTAAAACCAAGACTATGGTATTGTTCATTTATTCTACACATGGTTTTTGAGCAGCTAATCTATGCCAGCTGCTGGGCTAAGTGTCAAGGAACAGAGCAGAGTAACACATGGCCCCGTCGGTCACGTGGTCTACACTGCGCTATTCTAACAGCCAGGTGCCACATGTGGCTACTGAGCACAGGCAGCGTGGCTGGTTGGAATTGAGCTGTGCTGTAAGGGAACAACATGTATTGGATTTTGAAGACCCTGTACAAAAAGAAAGAATGTAAAAATCTCATTAATATTTTTATACTGGGCCGGGCATGGTGGCGCATGCCTGTAATCCCAGCACTTTGGGAGGCCATGGTGGGCAGATTGCTTGAGCTCAGGTATTCGAGACCAGTCTGAGTAACATGATAAAACCCCGTCTTCAAATCAAAAATAATAATAATAATATGTATATATTTTTATACTGATTATGTGTTGAAATGATACATTAGATTAAACAGAACATATTAAAATCAATTTCACCTGCTTCTTTTTTCCTTTTTTTAATGTGGCTACTACAGAATTTACAATTTCTTATGTGACTCCCATTGTGTTTCTTTTGGGCGGTGTTGGTCTCAGAAGCGTCTGCAGGCAGGGGTGGCATGACGACGAGACTGGAGAAGAGCTAAGGAAGAGCTGCAGAAAGTGCTTTAAGGGCATCAGGGCATTAGCCCCTGGCCCCCAGGGGCAGAGGAAGCTGATGACCCCTGAGGGTAAGGACAGACAAGGCCCAGGATGGTGCGGGCAAGGGGGATCAGAGTGAAGGGCTTCCAGGCACAGCAAAGGAAAGGAGGGAGCAAGCATAGACAGGCATGTCTAAAAAAGGGTGAGAAGCCTGGACACAGTGGCTCATGCCTGTAATTCCAACACTTAGGGAGGCTGAGACAGGTGGATCACTTGAGGTCAAGAGTTCAAGACCAGCCTGACCAACATGGTGAAACCCCATCCCAACTAAAAAATACGAAACTTAGCTGGGGACGGTGGTGCATGCCTGTAATCCTAGCTACCCGGGAGGCTGAGGCAGGAGAATTGCTTGAACGTGGGAGGCAGAGGTTGCGGTGAGGTGAGATTATGCCACTGCACTCCAGCCTGGGCGACAGAGTGAGACTCCATCTCAAATAATAATAATAATAATAACAGTAAATATAAATAAATAAGTAAATACATCAATTAATTTTAAAAGGTGATAAATGTTGTCAGTGCCCGGGGTCTGAGAAGGAGTATAACCGCAACACGGAAGGTAAGTCTGTGCCAGTATTTGAGAAGTCTTTGTTTCCACTCTCAGACTGCCTTTGAACTTGCCACATTTGGACTGTTTCCCTTGTTCACTTATACAGGAAGCTAGGAATTTATACAGAAGAGAATTTTAGGCTTAGCGGAGAAGACATGTGAAAATGAAACTTTGTATTTGGAACTTCGTAGGATAATGAGCAGATAATGTGTTTTCTCCTTCTAGTTCAGAGTCCTAAATGCATATTCAGCAACTTGAGTCTAGTATTCAATCTCCAGTAACTTTCTGTATAATCCTGATGTGGCTTCCTAGAATCAAACTGTCAAAGGCCACACAGCAGGCTGAAGGTCACTAATTCCAAAGCGCAGTCATTCCACACCTAGGATCTGGGCTCTTCCCCTGTAACAGGCTGCTTTTCTTTTTTTGAAACGGAGTCTCGCTCTGTCGCTCAGGCTGGAGTGCAATGGTGCAATCTCTGCTCACTGAAACCTCTGCCTCCTGGGTTCACGCCATTCTCCTGCCTCAGCCTCCCGAGTAGCTGGGACTCAACAGGCAACAAAAGAGTTTTGATCTAAGCCAGTACAGCAACACAATATATCTTATGATGAGGCACAAAGGAACATGAGGATGAAAACAAAGTGGCTAGAGAGAGAAAGTAAACAAGAGATCCCACCCCACACTTCAGGGGGAGAGAGGGCAATCAGTAAAACCAGACTCAAAACTGGAATGGGATCTTCATCATAACAACAACGAAATCCCCTCAACCTCAAAGACAAACGCTTATGGATTGCAGAAAGTAAAACATTTCTCCAAGAACAGGTATTGGAAATGACAAACGTCAGAGCTGATTAGAAACCACCGTGTTTACAGGAATGTTGGACCTATCTAGAAGGAGATTATTAGGAAGGCAGGCCCAGGAAGTGGTAAGTGTATCTCTGGATTTCGGGCTTTAGGTCTATTCAGTCAGAACATTGCTTTTGCTGTGTGCAAAAGGCAGCAGGTAATAGGTCATGTGTCGGGGGAAAGGGAGTCACTCAAGGCAGGATTAAAGGATGCTAGAAACACATCCAAAGCCAAAGAGTCTGGGGTGGGGAGCCCATGGTCCAATTAGGGAGGCTAAAGAAAGAGTAATGAAGGCAATGGGTTTGAGCTGCACCGTGAAGGATGGACACACTCTTCTTCAATGAGTGACAATGCAGGACAATTTTTTAAAAGAGAATGATACAGCCGGATGCGGTGACTCACGCCTGTAATTCCAGAACTTTGGGAGGCTGAGGCAGGCAAATCACCTGAGGTCAGGAGTTCGAGACCAGCCTGACCAACATGGAAAACCCTCGTCTCTATTAAAAATACAAAATTAGCCAGGCATGGTGGCGCATGCCTGTAATCCCAGCTACTCAGGAGGCTGAGCCAGGAGTATTGCTTGAACCCAAGAGACGGAGGTTGCAGTGAGCTGAGATCATGTCATTGCACTCTAGCCTGGGCAACAAGAGTGAAACTCTGTCTCAAAAAAAAAGAGAGAGAGAGAGAGAATGAAACCAGTGTGAAAGAGAAAATCCTTCTACTAGTGATTAAGGAAAGTTGCAGGTTTCAAGAGTTCATTTGTAACATTTTAAAGATACATTAAGCCCATTTTTACTTTCCACATTCCTATCATCCTGTTTTGTTTTCTTCAAACCAATTATCATTGTAAAACATTAGTTTGTTAATTTCCTTAGTTGTTTCATATTGTTGCCTTGAACTAGAGTGACCATACTAACCAATTTGCTCAGAATTTCCCAGTGTATGCCTGCCATCTGGCAGAATTTTACCCTTAGGTATGTTCTGGTTTGAGCAATGTATTGTAAGGATGTTTTACATATAACCCCCCCACAAGAAATTATTAACTTAGCTTTTAAAAAATAATTTTTCACTTTTTTTTTTTTTTTTTGGAGACGGGGGTCTCCCTATGTTGCCTAAGCTGGCTGGCTGAAAGCTCCTGGGCTCAAGCAATCCTCCCACCTCAGCCTGCCAAGTAGCTGCAACTACAGTCATGTACCACTACCCTTGGTTAATTCTTTACTTCAGTTTCATACTAATATGGGCATGGTTTTAAACAATCCTTAATTCAAGTAATGACAAATGCATACTGCTACACCTTTTCTCCTTCCCTTCCCTTTTTTAGAATTTAAACTTTAAGACTCAGCCTATACTTTTTACAGATATCACTTGATTTTTTAAAAAAATATTATTTATGCTCTATTCACTAATAAACTCCCAGCCACACAGCCAAACTAGCCACATCGTATACTGGGAAAGCAATTCCCAACTGCCACCCTGACATATTCAGCTATAAAGTTCCCAGAAACAGGACATAGATTTCAGAAGGAAGGCTGCTCTATGTAAGAAGTTAGAATTGATGACTGAACAACTATATGTACTTAGTGGGCAATAAATTAAACAACTCATTTGGCTCAAAGGCCTTCAGCAAATAGCCTTTCGGCTAGTAAAAGAACTGCTGGGTTCTGCTGAGTGATTTTCTAAGAATACCATAAACAAGGAGCAACTTGGCATGACCACTCATAATGGAATGTGCTTACTGAACAACCCAGGCATAATTTGGTTCCGAGGAACGAAGAACCATAAACCCATCTTTCCTGGCACCCACCCTGAACAATCTCTGGGCATGTACCTTTCAGATCTCCGTTCCCATCCTTGTTACTGTCCTTGAAAGACCTCGGGTAGATCTGGTACATGGGCCCCTCCTGCCACCAGTCTAGGCACTTTGGAGAGAGGACAATGATGGCTACAGTGGCCGCGATGAGCACCAGGACAGAAGCCACGGCGAGCCAGAAGAGGATCTCCCGGGGTATGCGATAGCGGGCCTGGCCAGAGAACTGGAACAGAACCTCCTTGGGCATCCCCGCGTAGGGCTGGACGCCCTTGAAGTCCGGCTCCTGGGAGCCAAGGATGCTCGTGGTGCTGTGCTGCAGGTTGTCTGCTGAGCTACCTGTATCCGGGGTCTGCTCCAGAATGTCTTCATTATGGACAAACCCGTTGTTTGTCTGGCATCCCTTCATATTCATCCCGATGGAGTCTCTCTTGCTTTTATCTTCAGCCATGTCTCACTGACTTGTGCCTTCAGGGTGCCTTACTCCAGTAAGGGAGGTAGAAGAGTGGCTTGCTGAATGCTTGGTCTTGTTAATGAACTTTGTGTGGTTTATAAATAAACCTGGCTGGACAAAGTCCAGCCAAGGAAGAAAGGGTAAAAGTACAGAGGTTTAAAAAAAAAAAAATCTCGGGACGGGCGTGGTGGTTCACGCCTGTAATCCCAGCACTTTGGGAGGCTGAGGCGGGCAGATCACCCGAGGGCAGGAGCTGGAGACTAGCCTGGCCAACATGGCCAAACCCTGGCTCTACTAAATGTACAAAACTTAGCCCGGCATGGTGGCGCATGCCTGTAATCCCAGCTACTCAGGAGGCTGAGGCAGGATAATTGCTTGAACCCGGGAGGTGGAGGTTGCGGTGAGTGGAGATCATGCCATTGCACTCCAGCCGGGGAAAAGAGAGTGAAACTTGGTTCAAAAAAAAAAAAAAAAAAAAAAAAAAGGCTGGGCATGGCGGCACTTGCTGTAATTCCAGCTACTTGGGAGGCTGAGGCAGGAGAATCACTTGAATCCAAGAGGCAGAGGTTGGCCGGGCGCGGTGGCTCAAGCCTGTAATCCCAGCACTTTGGGAGGCCGAGAAGGGGGGATCACGAGGTCAGGAGATCAAGACCATCCTGGCTAACACGGTGAAACCCCGTCTCTACTCAAAAAATACAAAAAACTAGCCGGGCGAGGTGGCGGACGCCTGTAGTCCCAGCTACTCGGGAGGCTGAGGCAGGAGAATGGCGTAAACCCGGGAGGCGGAGCTTGCAGTGAGCTGAGATCCGGCCACTGCAGTCCAGCCCGGGATACAGAGCAAGACTCCGTCTCAAAAAAAAAAAAAAAAAAAAAAAAAAAGAGGCAGAGGTTGCAGTGAGCTGAGATAGCGCCACTGCACTCCAGCCTGGGTGATGGCAGTGAAACTCTGTCTCCAATAAATAAATAAAGGACTGAAATTCTGACACATGCTGCAACACAGATGAACTTTGAGGACATGACGCTAAGTGAAATAAGCCAGACACAAAAGCACAAGTGTGATTTCACTTAGATGAGGTATCTAGAGTAGTCGGATTCATAGGAACAGAAAATAGAAAGGTGATTACTGGAGGCTGGAGGAAGGGGATAATGGGGAGTTACTGTTCATTGAGCAGAGAATTTCAGTTTGGGATGATGAAAAGTGTTCTGGAGATGGACAGTGGTGATGGTTGCATAACAGTATAAATGTACCTAATGCCACTGAAATGTTATATATGTTTTACCACAAGTTTTTTTTAAAGCTTAAAGCTTTCTCTATTTAGCCAGGTATAAGAAAAATGACTTTTGGGGAAATTAGTTTTTCTTATACGGTTAAATGAAAGTGGGAAGATAGCTTGAGCTCAGGAGACGGAGTCCAGCCTGGACAATATAGTAACAGGAGTTGGAGATCAGCCTGGACAATATAGTAAGACCTCATCTCTACAAAAAAAAAAAAAAAAAAAAAATTAAAATTAGCTGAGCATGGTGGTGCACCCATGTAGGCCCAGTCACTCAGGCGGCAGGCTGATGTAGGCGGATCACTTGAGGACAGGAGGCAGAGGTTGCAGTGAGCTGAGATGAGCCCAGGAGGAGGTTGCAGTGAGCTGAGATCACGCCACTGTACTCCAGCCTGGGTGACAGAGCAAGATTCTGTCTCAACGACAACAAAATTGAATGTAATGATTTATGATGTCCTTTTCATCAGGAGCACATACAGCTCTATGAATCATTTGATCTGATCATGAGATTTTTTTTTTCTTTTAAATGATGATAGTTATCTGGGGCCCTCATCTTAGTGTTTCTTTTGCGGAGTGGCTTAGAAGCACTATATACTATAGAGGTATAGAGGAAGGAGCTACTTAATCTTGGACAAATTATATTTAAAAATGAGTAAATCCCAATACTTGGCTCATTGAATGCACTCAGTGATACCTCTCATTATTATTAATTATGCCCACTGAATATTTTTTATTTTTTGAGAAGGAGTTTCACTCTTATTGCCCAGGCTGGTGTGCAATGGCCTGATCTCAACTCACCCGCAACCTCTGCCTCTCAAGTTCAACCAATTCTCCTGCCTCAGCCTGCTGTGTAGCTGGGACTACAGGTGCCTGCCAACATGCCCAGCTAATTTTTTGTATTTTTAGTAGAGACAAGTTTCACTAAGTTGGCCAGACTGCTCTGGAACTCCTGACCGCAGGTGATCCACCCACCTCAGCCTCCCAAAGTGCTGGGATTATAGGCGTGGGCCACTGCACCTGGCACCAAATCATTTTCTAACAAAGAGCAGCCAGTAAAGTCAAGCTGCAGATATAGACAAGCAAACTGGGAGCTTGCACAGGTGGATGCGACAGGAAAGAACTACCTGGGCCTAGACATGTTCAAAATGGTGGCTCCATCTCCCCTTCTCTGCCAGCCACGTGTACAGTAAGGAGCAGACAAGATGGCCCCAGCCGAGGGGAGAGTTCATTTGCATAATAAGATTAGGGTGGGGCCACCAGCCTTCCATGTGTGCTATGTAAACATCACACGTGACCCAAAAAACCTGTGAGCCCTACCTAAATCAGACATGGCCTCCTTAAGCTGAACTATCAAGTCTGGTGTGTCCACCACCAGCTGACCTTTTCCTCTTGGAAGTCCCTTCTTTCTCACTAAAGAGAGAGCTATTTTCCTTTCTCTTTCTCCTTCTTTTGCCTATTAAACATCTGCTCCTGGCCAGGCACGGTGGCTCAGGCCTAGTAATCCCAGCACTTTAGGAGGCCAAGGCGGGTAGATCAACTGAGGTCAGGAGTTGGGGACAAGCCTGACCAACATGAAGAAACCCCATCTCTACTTAAAAATACAAAATTAGCTGGGCGGGGAGACTTGTGCCTGTAATCCCAGCTACTCAGGAGGCTAAGGCAGGATTGCTTGAGCCCAGGAGGTCAAGACTGCAGTGAGCTGTGATCACCCCACTGCACTCCAGCCCAGGTGACAGAGTGAGTGAGGCTCAAAACAAAGAAAAGAATATACACCACACTTTATAAGTGGGCATGTGAGATTTTTTTCATTTGTTTTTGGCTATTATAAATAAAACTGCTACAAGCAATCACGTACAACTCTTTCTAAGAATATAGCTTCCTTTTCTCTTAGGAACCAACTAGCAGTGAAATAGCTGGATAATATGGTAAGTGTATAGTTAATTTTTAAGAAACTGCCAAACTGTTTTGGTAAGTAGTTGTATTGAGGCAGGAGAATAGGGTTTGAAGGCAGGGAACGTAAGGCTGTTTCACTCAGCATTCCTAGAACTAAACTGAAAGGAAAACCCTAATTTTCCATGCCTAAATCACAAAAACCAGAGGCTACTCCCTTTACAAATCCCCCACCTTTTCTGCCAGGCATGGGAAATTGACTGTCAGCAACCAATCAGACTGATGGCGGGTGAAGTCTTCCTTTGCAACTTTGTAACTTCACTCCAGCCTCTGAATGGTTGCTGTCCACAACCAGTCAGACTGATTGCGGGCCGAGTCTTCGTTTGCATAGAAGTGTAACTTTGTAACTTCACCCTAGTCTCTGATTGGTTGCTTTCTGCAACCAATCATATGTTTGCACAGGAGTGTAACTTTTGTAACCACGTCATCCTCTGGTTGGCTGCTTTCTGCAACCTATCAGACTGATTGTGGGCTACCACTTCATTTACCTGAGGTGAGCATGAAGTGGCCAATGGGAAACTTCTAGAGGATATTTGGACCGGAGAAGATTCTGTACTGGGGCCCTTGAGCCGCTGCTCGGCCTGCTTCCATGCTGTGGAGTGTACTTTCGTTTTCAATAAATCCCTGCTTTCGTTCTTTTTTTTTTTTTTTACACCAGTTATCAAATGATCCTTTATTGAAATATTTTCCTTTGTGCTTAACTGGCTGGGCATTCTACAGCACCACTGTTGATGTCATCTATGATGTCATGAGGGTGGCACCATCAACATTACAACCCACAGAGTGGGCAGTCCCCAGGATCTCTTTAATGGTTCCAGAGAGTTCTCTGGCTAAGGATCGGTGCCGCATCTGACGAGCAATGTTGACGATCTCATCAAAAGTGATATTCCCACTGTGTTTAAAGTTTTTCTGTTTCTTTCTGTCTCTTGGTGGTTCCTTGAGGGCTTTGATGATCAGGGCAGAGGCAGAAGGTATCACCTCAATCTGGGCCTGTCTGTCCTGAATGGTGAGTTTCACTGTAATCCTCAGGCCCTTTGTCACCTACTGCCTTGGCAATGCCATCACCAACTTTTTTTGGAGACAGACCCAGGGGGCCGATCTTGGGGGCCAGGGCAGAAGTGGCACCGACTTCACCTCCGGTACAGGACTTTGATCTCGTTGGGGTCGAACTTCGGCGGCATGGTGGAGGCGGCTGGTGTCGGATGAACCCAGATTGGGGACAATGAAGAAAGTTACATCTTGGCCTCCTCCGAGCCAAAAGGCGAGACAGTTGCTTTCGTTCTTTTGTTGCTTCATTCTTTCTTTGCTGGGCATTTTGTCCAATTCTTTGTTCAAAACGCCAAGAATCTGGACAATTTGCAGCCACGACCCTCTACCGGTGACAGTATCATTTTGCGTCACCTTCATTGGCCTATGAGAGTGTGAATTCTTCCACATTCTGGCCAGCACATGGTCTGCTGTCTGTTTAATTTCAGTGATTCTAGTCGGTAGGTAGTGATGTCTCATTATGGTTTTAATTTGTACTTCTCTAAAGACTAATGGTGTTGAGCATCTTTTCATGTGCTTATTTGCCATCCATATGTCTTCCTTGGTGGACCTGATGCTGGCAGCCAGCTGGGTGGGGAGTGGGGCTGGGGGCGTCTCTGTTCTCAATACCTGTATTGCTTCAATGTAGTCTCCATGTTGGCTACTGTGGGCGTCTTCATAGCATGCTGGCTTGGTACCAAATGTTAAGTGTCCCAGTTGAGACAGCAGGCAAGGCAGAAACGATATCCTTTTTGTGACCTAGCCTCAGAAATTACATAGCTTGTTTTTGACTGTACTTTATGTGCCAAGCCCAGAGACAGTGTGT